TTTGTGACATACGATTGAAGTAAAGTAAAATCTTCAATAGATCTGCACTTTTCGTTTATGGAGTAATATCTTGAGAAAATTTTCTTCACAAAATGACAATCAATTCCAATACATTAAGTTATTTGATGAAATATATTAATTGAAAATATATGAATAGAGGTTTGTTTGTCGCGATATAGAGTTATTAAGCAAAAAAAAAAATACTAACACCTTAAATTCTAGCCTTCAACCAAATCATCTCCACATCATCTTTTTCATAACCTCTATTCTCAGCTTTTGCATTTGATCTTACAACCATTCATTTGTTTTTTACTACTCCAGATGATATATTTTCTCATACGGGTGTATATTAACTCAGTGACATAATAGCAAATAATTTTACTATACTATTATGCAATTCATCCAAACTCATATACGCTTTTGAGATATCCGAGAAAGAATTTTCCTTCTTGATGATATTTAAAACATTTGACAATTGGTACAAGCTATTCTATTCTAAGAAAATATTTTAGTTCATCTGAATCTTTGAACCGTAATAACCCTATATATATATATATATATATAGCAAAAAGCTTTTCTTAAATTAAAAAAAAATAAGTAGGTACAAAGTCGCCCACGTGAAAAAATAAAATATATATACACTAATTAAGAAAACTAATAAAATTAATATAATATATATATGTATATGTCACTCCCTAAAAAAGGAGTTTCTACACCTTGCCAAAATGGGAGAGAGAAGAGAGAGAATAAAAAAAGGTAGAGGGAGGAATGAAAAAATATATAAAAAATAATATTATAATAATATAAAAATATATATAATATATTTTAAAAAAGAAAGAGACCCGTTACCGTTAGGAAACTAATTGATATAATTTAGGTGAATAATTTGAGTTAAATTCTTAAATTTAATTTTCATTAATTTAGGATAGAAAATAATGTCCCTGTATTTTATTAATAATGTGAGCATGTCTAGTATTAAATTTTATAATATTGTAAATTTGTAGTATAATTGCAAAACGATAAAAAAATATATATAATTACAGAAGAAAAAATATAAAAATTTTAATAAGAGGATAAAAAGAAATATAACAATAATAATAAATATACCCAACAAATGTGAGTATAGAAAATTTAGAGTCTAAATTTTAATTTAATTAAATGGGTAGAATTGAATAACGTTAACCGTATATCGAATGGGTTCGAGTATAATGGAATGCGTGTTTGTAATCGGTTGGTCTTATATATATGATATATTGATGGTTGTTGTGACGGTAGTTCCACTCATATAACATACTATCCGAATCATACGCTATACGAGTTGGGATATGATTGTGATTGGATTAACCAATGATTCGTGTATCCAGTACCGATAGATGAGTGAGTCGGTACCGGTGCGTTGACGAGGAAGTACAGTTTTTTGGTAACCGCACCCATGACGTCACTGATCATGGGGTGGGGAAGAGACAATAAAACCTGAGATTGAGGATTGAGCATTTTTTCTGAGGAGGTGGTACGGTTACATTCCAAACGGTTTGAGTTCGAGTATTATAAGTGTTTCTGTCACGGATGGTCGACGAGGAAAAATTTCTGCGATTGACTCTACTTGATAGTCGATAGTGTGAGGGATTGACGTTTGGAGTGGATAAGGATGGTATTGATTTTGGTTACGAGATATGTGATATCGGTTATCGATGAGGAATTATATGGTGATCAAATTTGATCCTTGTATGTGATATACTTGGATTACATATATTCATCTTTGTGTATAGAGTACTTGGATGAGTTGTATGATCTTCGCGTATGATTCGCTTGGATTGACCTATGTGTGTGATATACATATAAATAGTTTGATCGATTGGTCATATGGATATTGATTGTGAATGTTGATTATATTGTGTGATATATTCGATGAATTGGTATTTAAAATTTTATTATTTAATTTATTAGACGTTGAATTTTATCCGTTTCAATGAGAGTTGAATTTGTAAGTTTAACCCGAATTATTTTCTAAATATTAAGTTAGGACGTTGTTATACAATATTTCGGGCATGGAGCAGGACGACCAAGTTTGGCCGCACCTAAACGACGAATGAGAGACGATTAATTTTTCAAACATTTTTATTGGTAATTAAGTTTTCAAAGTATGATGTATTTCTAACAATATGTATTTTTTTATTATGAATTTTAATATTTATGTATTATATAACGGTTTAATGTGTGTAATGAAAAATATTTTCCGTTATGCATGTTTCGAAATTTTTTTAAAATTTTTCTGTATTTTTATAAATAAATATTAGATTTTGTTCATGCGGCATAACACGTGAATGAATGAGATAAGGGTAACGCAACACATGTCACATAACAAAAGGGTTTTTCAAAAGTATATTTTTTTCTCTTCAATACTTCTTTTATTATTTTCCAAAATTATAATATAATCGACATAAAATGAGTAAAATAATAACAGAAAATAAAACAAATAATCATGAGTTCTCAATATGTCAAGAAGCTCACGAGTGAGGGAGAATGTCATGATACACTTATATGCTTCTCTACCAAGAAAATAATACAAGCATCCAAAAAACAAAAAGAGATGGCATTACCTATGAGTTTCTATAACTCTAGGTTTGGTAAAATCACTTTTGAACCTCTTATCTTTTATCTCGTTGATAATATTTATGTGTTGCAAAATAGAAAAAAAGAAATACTTGTCTAAAATACGTTTGACCATGAAAAAGATATATCCGACATGTTTTTTGTATTCAATATAAATTTGAGTAATATGTTAAATCTAGAATATAAACCACACATGAATCCCCTCTTACAAATAATGTCTCATGTGTTAAAAACATTGAACTTAGCATTTAAGAATATTAAGACGTTATTTTTGCTATTGTTTGGTGAAAGACATGCCATCGCATTGTTACATTTGGATTATTATTTCAAACGGAGTGTCACGACCTCCTTTGTGTTATCTAACTATTCTTTTGAGTGTATACATAAAATAAATACTAAACAAACGTGTATAATGGTGAAAAAGCCAAAAGAACCACCATGGGATATATTTAGGAACCGACGCAAACACGGAGATATATATTCGTCAAGATTAGTTTTTCGATATTTCTCCAAACTAATCTTGAGGAGGAATGTTAGAGAAAAAGATCATGATTGCTCGGACTCGATCACAGAATGTCTCGGAGACGAACAAACTCGGACACAAAGACAAATGATGACAAATCAAGTCTTGGACTTTCTTGGCTCAATGATCCCATCCCATTCACTAATGCAAGACTTGGGCAAAACTTGGGCCAAAAGCCCAATTCGATTATGAGAAGCTAACGAACAAAATCAAATCAAATATCTTCTTCATGATTTCATGCATGTGTTACGTCGACATTTTCTTTTGTCGTGTCTTTTACCGTTGTGCTTATTTCCTTGTTTGTTTTTATTTTACTTTTTCTATTTTATTGTCTTCTATGTATATATATAAACGATACGATGAATAATAAAATAAGTAACTATTTTATCAAAATCCTCTTGTCTTCTTCGTGTTCTTCTCTTAGCCGATGGCATAGCCATCTTATTTTCTTGTCTACTCAATCAAATTCATATCTAAAATACTAAATTCTTCAAAAACATCCATTATTCTGGTCTATATATACAGGTAAATGTTGGTCTCACCCACCTACGATTCTTGACAGTTACGTGCACTGGTTTGATCAACCGGGGCGTGATAGAAGCAGACGCCGACCATTAATAGCCAAGCTAATTCTACAAGCTACGATCCATTTGATTTGGAAGGAGCGAAATGACCGAATATTTAAGAGAAGTTCGAAGCCGGCGAGTGTTTTAAGATGTCAATTGGATAGTATGGTGAGAAGTGTTATACTGGCAAATCAATGGTAGAGGTCGGAGAAGTACATTACCCTATTGGAGGACTGGTTCACTCTTACGATATAGACGGGTAGAACGTTTTTGTATCAGACGATTTTGTATTTCTCATGGTTCCATGTGGCGTAAGTTCAGGTGCTGAACACTAATTGTAAAAATCTTTTTATTCTTCGGGTATATATTTATATTAAACAAAAAAAAAATAGTTGTATTATGCTATTGTAATAAAATCCTCATATTATAGCCCAAAAATTGTTGATAGATTTTTTTTTTTGTTAAAATCACTATATATATATATATATATATATATATATAAATTATATGT